AATACGTTTGTATAATCTTTATATATATATAATTCTTCTGTACGTTGTATGTCACTGAACTCCTCCTAAACGGCTGGACCGGTTTTAATGTTTGTTGTGTATTAATTAAGTCTATTCGAGAATCGTTTAGATTCACAATTCGTATTTTTTTTGTCTTTTTTTTAATTATAAGTTAAGTCGCGTATGCAGGACAACGTCTGTTAGGTCCGCTAGTTATTAAGTATAACTCAGTCGGTGCGTTAAATACCTCTGTCTAAATCACCACTATATTATGAGTATATAATAATATGTATAGTCATGATTTAGTGAGACAATATATATAAATTATGAGTTAACTGATATTAAATTCGTTCATTTCCGAAGTTTAGTGTTATCACTTGTTAATTATAATGTCATTTCAATTAGTTCCGATAGTTCCGCGCTTATTGAATTCTATTAATTGGGCTGAAAGATTGTACATTTATATATTAATCCAAATTGTATTAAATAATTAGGTAGAGGAAAAAGTATTCACACTATTTATCCCAACTATATTAAAAAATTTATAACGTTTCATCTTTACTACTCTTAATACAAATGTAGACAGAGATACGTGATGCTGAGCAATTTTGCACCGATAAATTTTAAACAGACTAAATTTGATGACTTGGGCCGTCATGATCAACTTAATACAATATATAAAGCGGAATTGATAGCATTGAGTCCCAGAAAGTAACACGAAATTACATGTTAATTAACGAAGTACCAGGAAACCATGACTAACAGTACGTCACATTAACTATCATCGTTAATTTTCATCACAGCTACATGATTAATTCGTTGTTGAGTCACACAACAAAGCCGATCCCGTTGCTAATATACAAGTATTCATGCAAAGTATATAATAGAATACAAGCAAACATAATATAAAAGCAATAAAAAAGACTCTCCGGCTGGGTCCAATTTTGTGTTGATGTGATTTGAACTTCTTGAGACTTTGTGACTACTGATGTTAACTAATAACCACAGCCCATGGGCATCTGCATAATAGGGTTAGCATATGCGTTGCCACCTTCTAATAAAGGGCCCGGTTACCTCACTGAAATTACCACGCAGATGTAAACGTTTAAACTTCCACTTCAAAAAACCGTTCTATGCGTTCGTGCCACTTTCCCGAACTGGCCAGCCCATTCTTGAAACACAAGCCGCTGCGGCCATATCACAGTTAACTTGTGACGTATTTTATAAAAAAATTAACAAAGATATCTAAGATATCTATCTATCTGCATTTATATAAAGATGATGAAGAATGAAATTACTTATCCGCACTATGATCGCTCATAAAACTACAAACATATAAGGTAGGGTTTTGCTTTTTGTCCCACTTCAGAATCAAAAATTGTCAGAGTCAAAATTTGTCTTTAATCATATAATTTTTGATATATAAATGATCACATTGTGTACTAAAATAATCACCAATAAAGACACTGATCTTGATAGATCAGAGTCCCAAGATGTCTTCATTGGTGACCAGTTTAGTACACTCGAGCAACCTGATTTTAAATGCCTGTGCCGACAGACTGTTAATTTAATCTTTATACCGCTGGTTTATCGCGTTTGTAGCGGTCAATGAAAACTTCATGCACCTATTTATTTTCGAAACTGTTATACTCAGTAGGTGGTACAAGCTCGCTTCATAGAGGAGGCCTTCACTCAGCAGTGGGGATGAGTGAGGACCTTTAACGTTACCTTAGATAAATTTTAATCGATGTAATCAATTAATCAAATACGTGCTATTTGTAACGGTTGAACTTGGAACTGGAAAATTAAAAAAATGTAAAGTAAAAGAAATGTAATATATTATTTTCATTTTTATAAAGACAATAATTATTAGATTTGACTCATTCGGAATAGCAGACATGTCCTAACTTTTTTTTTCAACACCAGCCAATTCTTGACTACTATAATGCAAAAGACTACCCCTCTAAATAAATGGAATTGGACGGAATTGTTTAATTAATATTTAGTGGTTTAACTAAACGATAGTGTAGCAAGCTTGGAAAGAAGTATTTTTGTTAGGCACATATAATCGTTTCGAACCTGGGTGTTGATTTTTTTTTATGTGAAAAGTTGCCAAACGAGCTGACGGTTCACCTGATGGTAAGTGAATAGGTTCGCCCATGGACATCTGTTACACCCGGGTTACAGATGTGTTGACAACCTTTTGAAAATTAGGCTCCGGCTACCTCACTCACCAGACGAAACGCGAAAGTATTTGTCATACTCCACTTTACGCTGGTCTTCTGTGAGGTCGTGGTACTTACCCGGACGAGCCTGCCCATTCGTGCAACAGCCGAGGCTGCTGCGTGATCCTACCACAGTGGTTCCTTAGTAGACGTTCGTCTGGCGGCTGATTGTGAAATAACTTACCAAAACCATGAAGAATAGCATTCACTTGTTGTGACATTAGTGGGATAAAGCATGACGACGATACTAGTTAATTTATACGTTATGAAAGAATTATAAGAGTCAGTATAGTGTACGAGGTATCTTCGCTCCGAACCTCATTAAAATCTACTCAATGTCAACACGGGTCAAGAAACCACACACAAACTTTTTACGTGTATTTACACTCATCACGCATGAACACATGCGCGCCTCTACCTATCGTGCGGGTATCAATCTCGTGTCATCTGCAAGCCAAAAGTACTGCATCCAATGAAGCTTTAGAAATAAAAACATCAGTCAAAGTTAACACGTCTACTGGCCGTTCATTCCGCGGGTGTTTCCAAAATGGCCGACGTGACAGCTCGCATCAACCATATGGAAGGAAGCGTCGATTTTCAAACTCGCTATTATCATATTGCCGGTTGTATTATAACCTCCAATATACCAGCTTTCATGACCTTTAAAAGCAGACCGCCGCAGACTAAGGTACTCTATGATTATTTAATTAAGACTACATCGAATTAATCGAATGCCCTTTTATTTTACTCTATCCGGCTTTTCCAACGATTGTTTAAATAGTAAAGTCACATTTTCATCTAATAATTGTTTATAACTTGAACGTAAAATGATAAATAAAAAAAATGCTTCTTTCTATTCAACGGGTAATCCCCGAATGATTTGAAATAAGCGTCATCAGTGTCAATGTTTTATGAAAATGTTACATGATTTAAAAGTTGAATAATTATTACTCATCATACATAATGACATATTATTATTTGCTGTGATATAGCCACGCACGAGACTCTACTATTGCATGAATAGTAAGAAGAACTAGCTGCTACTAGTATGTAATTTATTGGATATAGTATATTCCAATTTCTATTCGCGTTCAGCCGTTTTCAAGGAAAGAAACTTTCTTAAAAATCGGAATATTCTTTTTATATTAGCGCTAATTTGTATCCAAGAAGTTCCGTACAAATTTTTATTTATTACGAATATCAATATGAAAAACTTGTATCATTTATATATTTAGTTATTATATTTGAAGTCAATTTCGCTCTTTGTCAATACAAATGTGAATGTGTGTGTACGTTATTTCAGTACACCGATCATTAGCGAGTACTGTGGTATATTGTCATACAAAAATTTCAAACAAGTGATCACTTTATGGGGGCTGCCGTTATCGCGCACCATTTTCAGCGCAATTATATGTAATCGCGTTTTATGGCGCCAATAGACAAATAATTCGGTGGCCGCGCCCATTTTAATTAAATTGTATGAGCTTTTACAACGCCATTCGAGTCGTAAACCGATATTATAGGGGCGATGTTTTATTACGATGACGATGACGTTGCAAGGCATCAGGTCTAAGGAGTTGGTGCTGGAAGAGCTCCGAATGATCCGACTCCGATGGCGGAAATAATAAAGGAGGTCAAAAGAATAGCAGCTCCCATGATCTATCACAACCAAATAAGATCCGGATCTTGGCTGTGGTAGGCCGAATGGGCAGGTCCGTTCGGGTTACCACGACCTCACAGAAGACCGGCGTGAAGTGGAAGTGGGATAATTCTGCGTTTCGTCTGGTGGGGCCTCCGGGGCAAATAAGGACGGCACCGCATCTGCAACCGTACTGGTCGTGCAATGTCCATGGGAGGCGGTTATCACTTAGAATCCGGTGAAACGTCAGCTCACTTGCCACCTTCGCACATAAAAAAATTTGCCGCGAAAAATTCTATCCGGAATAACAATAAATCCTACCTAAGGACCATCTCAGTTACATGAGCTTGTCGACTTGTCCATTTGTTTGACGGTTACGATGCCACAGACAGACAGATACAAACGGTAAACTTACAAACATGTGACACCCCTAATTACTCGTACTTACGCGATCACACATTACTAAATGAAACTAATGGAACTCATGTCTATCGACACGAAATTAATAATTTAAAAGCATTCCGACGTCAAACGCCTCGGTCTGTCCCGTAACCTTGAACGCCGAAAAGGGTTCTAAACGTCGGGAAATAAAATTATAAATAAACTCGATAAATACGTAAAATTAGCTTCATTTCGTAATTATCACACCCCTCTTTGTGTCGGCGATTAAAACTGACTATAACCGACACGCTGTAGCTGAATAACACGAAGTATTTATTTTCAAAATTAACCGCACGTCGAACTGTATTAGTGGTATGTATGTAGTACAATTTTAACAATCAATAAGTAAGTATAATGCTTCTATATCGAACAGATGTTTGAATTTGAGTTTATTAACCCGATTAGGAAACCAACACGAGACACAATTGAAAATAAGACTGCACAACGTTACGTAACAACTGAACGTCAACTGCGGTTAGTGATACGGTAAAAAAAAAGCACTGGCGACCGCAACATCCCGATAAGAGGACAAATTCGACCGCGTAACAGGGATAAACGCACAGACCAACACGTCATCGGATCAAGCGACGCAACACATAGACGAGTGATTCAAACGGCTGAGTCACGACCGTCGGCTTATATACGGCGTGCCCGGGTCTGAGCAGCACAAGTGAACAGACATCCGAGCTGACAACATGGTGAAAATCATCGTCCTTCTAGTCGCCATCGCGCTCGCCGCCGGGCAGGACTGCACGTGCGAAGAAAGCGACCCCGCCGAGGCGGCGAATGTCTTCACCTTCCTCAGAGAGGTGTCCGACAGCGAGAGCGAAGGCTACCCAATTCTACCAGCGCTCCTGGCCCCGTTAAGCCCGTGCGCCAACTGCGGGGGCAGCAGGAAGAAGCGCAAGATATTCCCCGAGCCAGGGAACAGCGAGGCAGTCCATCCCGCGAAGAGCGCGGAAGAGAAGAAGGACTGGAAAGAGAAGCTGGAGAAGTTCCACCAAACCGGCGTGAGGAACAAGTGCCCGTTTGGCTATGCGAGGATCGGCTTCATGTGCCTCGACGTCGCCTTGTTGTAAACCTCAGTAGACCGTGCACCGCACGTGCTCAGCACCCGAAGTTCTCGCTTGCGAATAGACCACCATACCTGGCTAGTGTCGTTGGAGAAAACGCTGCCCCTCATGCATTTAATTGTGAAGATGACTTTAATAAATACATAGTATAATTTTGATAATGTTACGGATGGAGTTTTATATTTATGGCGATTAAAGGAATTTTTACGTTTACGTTTTTACGTTGTGTTCAAGTAAAAAGCAATTAAAAATTGTGATAATTTTAAAAACGGACATTAGTTGAAGAATAATTCGTATCGAAAGAAGCTTTAATTAGAAGTAAGTTAGCGTAATTGTACAAAATAAATGATATAAAATTACGATCTGTTTAATTGAATATCAACCCATATAGATCGCATATAAGTATCGGTTAATAGTACCAGCTGCTTTGTAACAGATAGAGTACACCAGTATAATTATTTATTTATTTAATAAGGCTTACCAACTAAATACATAAAGAAACAATTATTATGATATATTATATATATATATATATATATATGCATTAAAAAACCCTTTAAGGAGAACAGTAACCTACAAAACTATCACTACAATAAAATAATTATACCGCAAATTGTTCGTAAGTTTAAGTATCTCATTAAATAATTAAACCTCTTAAGGACAAGTGTACGGGACATCAATAATTTACAACCATAATTTATTGGTAGCATGACAACTACACTGATAAATTGACCATTGGGTATTGTTCTGGGTTAATGATGATCTGGTATAATAAACTGGCAATTAATTTCATTAACGAAAGGTCCCAAATTGAGCAATTAAGTGAACAAAAAAATTAATTAGCTAGATAAAAAAAGACCATATTATTGAACTATTTAACGAGACAGTTATGTATTGCAAAGGCGTATTTCATTACATTAAGCATATATCATCAATAATATTTAGGTGATGCATCTACCCATTCGGATGGAAGTCGACGGGATACACATAAGGTCCAAAGCCATATATCGTTTAGATTAACGCACTATCATATAAAAGTCGCGTCTTTTGATTTCTTAACGGCACTTATTTCATGTTTCTAATATTGTAATAGGAAATACCGGCCAATTGCAAGTCAGACTCGCGCACAAAGTGTTCCGTAACATTATCTATAAAAACGGCAAAAAAAATTATGTCTATTGTACGGTAGGGACACTTAAATTATTATTTTTTTTTTTATATGATAAAATGTAATTTTGAATGTGGATGTATATGAGCCTTAGTAACTTGAAATAAATGATAATAATAATAATTAAATATTGTTTTATTCTGTTTTTTAGTATTTTTTGTTATAGCGGCAACAGAAATACATCATCTTTGACAGTTTCAACTGTCTAACTATCACGGTTCATGATCTACAGCCTGGTGACAGACGGACAGACAGACAGACAGCGAAGTCTTAGTAATAGGGTTCCTTTTTAAGCTATGAGTACGGAAACCTAAAAAATCAAGTTTGCGCAATGTATGACGGCGCTGCAAACGCCAGACACCAAACGCTTCGGATTGTAACCGTTGTGAACACATACCATGAATAACAGACAGTTGTTTTTGTACTTGTGAAATCCTATTAACACAAATACCTCTATTATGGTTCAGAACCGAGGTAGTTCAATGTTACTCTCGGTTTTAAACAGAATATTCTAGTAACCTGAGTTCAAATGCCAGTGCCAGCAACAACACATTTGTTGCTTTATACAATCGTTTGCAGAAATAATTAAGTTAGACAACATAAAGTTAAGCATATAAACTCGCGTATTTTCTTTCGAAAGAGTGCAACCGACTTATCTTATAACTCTCCTAGTAAATACAACATAAATAGTGCGTAAATCGGCGCACAAGCAATAGCGCTTTCCCGCAGCAAACATTTAAGTTACTTTGAATTAAATTAAATTCAATAAAACAGTGAATCATTAGAGGAAATTTAAAGCCACGTACATCGCGTCATAATATATTCTCGACCACAAACCAATATTACATACGTAATATTGGTTTGTGGTCGTGGTGTGCGTACATGCAAAATGTATTTTTAACTAATTAAACACGCTTAATGATTATTGATAAATGAGGGGTGGAGACCCAGATACGAGTAGAAATCACAAAAGACAAATTAGCATACAATAAACATCTCAGGCGACTTTCTGTTTATTCTAGAGCTATGCACAAGCCTCATTTGTAGCGTACAGAAGACAAGTGAGAAGTGGAAATTTCATACTTCTACGTTCATACGTCGTCTGTTCAGTGAGGTAACCGAGGCAACGCATCTGCAACCTAACGGGTGCTGCAAATGCAGGCACTGCGGTCATGACTTGACGTCAGCTCGTCATCACGTCGAATAAAAAAAATATACGGCTATAAGCTGGTTTATAAGACTTTTGCTTTTCGCCTTTTTTTATTCGTGTCCTTTTTTTTCTCTTTTTATTTGTGTATGGCTGATGTCTCATTACTAATGATCGTGTGTTACTAATTACTAATGAGGTGTTTTGTTCGTCCCTTTACAGGTACGCAACTGTAAGTGGTTTAATACAGTAGGTGATTATTGTCATGTCCTCAGCTTAGTCGATCTCCATGTACCAAATCATTGCCAAAATCACTGACGTATCAGAGCCATAGTAGGGGAAAAAATGTTTAGGTAGGAGGTAGTAAACATCCTAAAAAGTTTTACGCACACAAAATCTCTCGTTAACCGTTCTTTGGAAAACGCGTCGAATTTCTCTCAGATCGAAAAAAATATTTAAATAAATATTACAACAGTTCTATTTGGGAGCGTGAGATTATCTAACACAATATAACCACGAGTAGAATTTAAATACCAAGTTCTAATACTTGGAGAAAACCCGTCAGTGAGCATAGAGGAAAAATCGTTTTTCCTCCCCGACTTAACTGATAGTGTGTGTGTACATGTTAAATTCTGTCATAAAAATATTTTTTTTATTTTTAAAAAGCAGCAAATGAGCTGGTGGTTCACCTGATGTTAAGTAATACATACGCCCACGCACAATTGCTACACCCATTGGGCCCCGGCTACCTCACTCACCAGACGAAACGCATAAGTATAACACATCCACCTAAGTCCGGTCTTCTGTGAGGTCGTGGTACTTTTCGGACCTTTTGGGACCTCCCCATTCGTGAAACTGCGAAGACTTGCGTGGCACTACCACAGTTGAAAGTTGTAATGAAATTTGTATTAACAAAAAACAAAAACCACTTAAAATTTTTGACCCCTATACATTTCTATTTAATTTTGAGGAGTCCAAAGTGTAAAAAGAGTGAAATTAATATCGAACGAGGGTTCTAACACAAATCCAATGCACAAAAAAAATCATTCGTTTCATAAATGGCGGAGTTCTGAGGTAACGAACATAAAAATATCATAATAATTATCATAATTTGTTTCTAATCTTATGTCAGGGTTTGCTGCAAGAAAACTTTTTAGAGTTAAGCTCATCTTTGTACATTTTTTGCAACTTTTGTTTTCACTTATACTCTGTGTACAATAAAGAATAAAAAAGTGTATAATAACTTTATTTTAGTTAGATGAATCAATCTTTATTATACAACACTGAAGCTAATATGAAAGTATTCCTCGCTTTTAAGAGTAGTTTTATAAAAACTTATTTCAAATTACAAAAATTAATAAGAAACAAATTCATCTTTAAAGTGTTCTTAATGAACAATACACAATACTTCCAAGTGTTTTGTATTTTTGTAGGTTATAATGAAAAATGTTGTAATCGACCGAAGAAATTTCGGCAAGCCTACCGACACAGTAGTATCAAATAGTTCGCAGTAGCCGCGCCAAAATTTAGAAGAGCCTTACTCACCAGACGAAACGCAAAAATATAATCGCATCTACCACGTAAATCAACCACGTACCAGTTTGGAGGTTGCGGGAGTTCCCCGGTAGAACGAGTATTCAAGCGGCCAATAAGAATTATAATTAAATATAATATAACTCATCTTGTATAAATTATCTCATATATGTTGCGTTACGTTATGTACGCTATTTGGTTATCATCGACGTACACTTTAGCTTATCTAGCCGTTGAGTTTGGTGAATGTATTTTAGATTCTAAATTACATATACAGGGAGATTTTTTGAGAAGTGCCCAAATTTACACAGGAGTTTCAGACTCAGTAGTATAATCGTTTATTGAAATAAAAAACAAAGTTTTTTCCAAAAAAATTCCCTAAAAAACAGAACGTGTTGACGATGCGGTAGTCATTCATAAATACCTAAATTTTACTGTGCACGAACTTGTGGGCCTGTTAGTTATGAATGATCGCGCGTAAAATAAATGAGTTGCGTATAAATCACGCACTTTTTGAGATAAGTTCAAATGAATGTAATTAATTACTTACGGGAGATTTTAAATATACACACCGGCACAATTAGCGGAACACAAAAAAAAGCAGGATTTTAAAATCTTTTACTTGAGGAACTGGCCAGTTATGATATTTTTTTAATTTATTGTCAAATTTGAAAATAGAAAATTAGATGACATACACTTTTTTCTTTCATTTGTTTTATTTTCCCGAACAATACGTTTTGTCAACTTGTTCGAGTAATAACTACGTAATTGTATTTTTTTTGAAAAATTGCACTTAATGGTTTTTATAAATTTGTTATTCTATAGGCAATTTTGTTTATTAAAAGCTCTTTATTATGCCTGACTTAATATCACTGGAAATCATTAGGGCTGATGAAATGAGGAGAAATGGCCATACCTACAGATCGATTGCCTCAAGGCTTCGTCGACCAGTATCAACGATTCATCGCAGCATCCAGCGGTACAGATCGTCTAATTCTTTTGTGAGGAGGAGGGGTCGAGGTAGAAAAAGATGTACATCGAGGCGAGATGACAGTTTTTTACAACTTGGAGTTCGTAGGAATACGCTATCAGTATGTATTCAACCATCGCAGAATTTTATCAATATGTTTTCTTGTAGCAATCTAACTTTATTAA